GAGGACCCCCTCTTTCCCTCTATAGTTAATATGGTGGAAATGGGCTGTGCTTCTTTGGATATGCCAGTAGTTCTCTCTAGAAGCTACCAATAAAAATATACAGCTTGCATGCTGTTTGGGGTTTTTTAGTGTAATTTGTCCTGGCTTTTTCAGTTTAGACCATCAGATATCCCTTTAGAAGCCAATGGAAGAAACTGACTCTGCCTTTCCCCTGAAGGAGGGACAGAGGAGCTGAGGCATTGGATCTCTGACTGAGAAACTGGAGAAGGATAGACGACTTTCATGAAGGCTTGAGTGCAAAAGCTCGTCAAAAAACCTTTTGGATAGCCTAATTTATTTATATCTCTAGTAGTCTAGTCATCAAACTCAAGAGTCTGCCTGCAGACAGTGGAAAAAGGGTGGAGCTGAGCATGCTTCATTCTAATTGGCATCACCTTGTCTGATTAACTGAGAGACAGACACACTTACTTGTTTGTATCAATGTCATCATGCTATGGGAAAATGTTAAGAAATATGATTTTACTTGAATTTTCTAGATTTTACTGTAGACATAATTATTAACAATTTTTTTATTGGAATATCACATTTCTCCTTTTCCATCAGATTCTAAAATACATCAATAATTATTATTTTATTTAGATGTTAGTTTCAGTCATATCAGTAGCTGAAAAAAGTATGTTTTTTACTTTCTATAAATCTAATGTATGTTTGTTGATCAGTACCTGAGACAACCTATCAGTTCTGCCATGCTTCTACTGCTTTGGTAATTACAACTAAAATTCAAAGAAATATTTACATAACTGTTTCATTTTAATTCACTCTCACAAAAAATCTGTTAATTTATCAGAAAAAGCCATAGCCTTTCTTTTTTTAAATACATTTGATGATCATCTATATGTAACTTACTTTTCAAGTAGATATTGATCATAGTAAAAAATTTGATATGCTAGCAAATTTTGTATTTATACAAATAAATTTAAAGTATATTTGAACTAGGTGAAAGGTACATTGCCAAATCAGTTTAGGTACTAAATTTTTGTTTTGTGAACAGCTTTTTTTCAAAACGGAACATCAACAGACGTATTTCCATGACTTTTAACTTATTTTTAAAGGAATAACATTCCCCTGACAGTGCGATATTACAAAGGAATTGTGGTAGCAGATCAGACTAACGTCCATTTAGTCCATTATTCAGTCTCAGAAGTCCTGAGGAAGGTGTAAAAGCTACATAATGGACAATTATAGTATAATCGTTTTGTTAATGAATAATTAAATTGTACTTTACAACAATGACATTTGCTTGTGCAAATCGTGGAAATCATGGAAATAATGAAACACTTGATAGTAAAACAATTGTGTAGAAATAACCATCTTAAAGTGAGGGCAAGGGGGAGTTTGGGAGAGTGAGATGTTAAATTGCTTCTAATTGCGACTACCCCTTTCATGCAGCATGGACATTTATCAGGAAACTACATGACTTCCCAGAAGGCACAACATAATAAAAAATTAAAAAATAAGGAATATGATGAATACACTAATTACAGTGATGATAACTTTGGTAACTATAATGAAGAAGAAAAGGAGGAGGATTTTGCTGATCAGTTAAAACAATACAGAAAAGCTAAAGAAACTTCAAATACTGATTTAGGAGCTCCATTTCCTAAAGAACCAGTGAAAAAACAGGGGATGAAAGGAATCCAGAAAGGTACGGTTTGGTTTAATAGCTAATTTAGTTCATTTGCAGAAACTTTCAGAATGG